TACTACGATACGTTCACGATGTTGAGTTGCAAATTCTGTTTGATCGTGGTATGCATTTGTTGGACAAATTCTCTTTATTATTGTATGTAGTCAGGCCTCTCTGTACCTTGACAATTATTTGTTTCATTGCAACATGTACTAAATTTGGACGCGTGTTTGGATTATTCTACAGAATAGTAGCCTTTTTTCTTCAGCTTCGTGAGAGAGTTTTTTCTTTTTTTTTAGTGGTTATTTAGTGGGAAAAAACAGACCGAAAGCGTGGTATCGGAAGTTGCTTTTTAGCTTTGTTTTTTTGCACACTTATAATCTGCTTGCTCCTCATGAACGAAGCGATATGACTTCAGTCGGCGTTTCACACGAACTTTTTTCCTGTGCCGTGATTGCTTACTGCGTTATATATGCAATAGATATAGATCCTTCCACCCTCTCTGTTTAGTTTGTCAGAGGATGAATGAATGGAATAAAAGTAATTGCATAAATAAATGAAAAATAATGTGGACATAGAAATTCCAAGAAGGGTGCACTGTGTACAAATTCCTTAATTTTTTTTTTCACGAACCCTTTTCTGTTATTGGTTTCAGGTGTGGGAAAGAGTTGCCTTCTTCTACGATTCTCCGATGGTTCTTTCACAACTAGTTTCATCACAACCATAGGGTGAGTTTTCACAATTTCGGACTAAAATTGTAGAATCTTGTGTGCCAGAAGTTTCCTTAACATCACTAGGTCTACCCTCCCGGTGCAGCATTGATTTTAAGATAAGAACCATTGAGCAGGATGGAAAACGGATCAAGCTCCAAATTTGGGATACTGCTGGTCAGGAGCGGTTCCGAACAATTACAACTGGTAAGATTTATGATCCTTGTAGATTATAGGTACAAGTGTCATTGAAAAGTAAAGAACCCCAACCATTTTAAGGATAATGTAGTTTAGGAGTTAGAATGTAGTTATACTCTGATTAAAAAATTCAATAGTTGAGATTTTAGCAACTACTGTTGTTGTTATTGTGTTATAAATGGGCATGCATTTTATTATAATTTCAACTGTTGATGTGCTCCTCCTCACTTGTTTAAAGCCAAATCCCAAAAAGGATGGGACTGACTATAATGGGAAGTTCAGAGTTCAAAATCTAAGATAATTCTTAAACCAACAGTTAAGCCCAAAATAGCATATGCCTAATAACACAAAAGTCTTATTCCACTAATTGAAGTTAGTTACATGGATCACGCAGCACCATTCAATATGCTTAAAGACGAAATGTTCATATATATTATTTACCATGAGATCTCCCTTAACAATTTTCTCCAGTGTCCTTCTTGGTCTCCCTCTCTTCCTTTCCACAAACTATAAACATGCAATCTATTCACTTTATTGGTGCTTCTACGAATGTATAATTCACCTTAACCGATTTTGCGTCATCTTTTCCTTGACTGGTGCAATCATTTCATATTATCCTTTATTGACATACCACACATCCGTGTCTTAACATTCTCATTTTGGCATTCTCACATTTTTTTTCTTGTTCTCCTTTTAAAGTTTAACAAAAACTATCCATAAATTATATGGAATCTATAAAACTTGTCTGAGGTTGGTAGATACTTTGCTATAAATAATAACCCTCAACCGTTTTCTCCAATTGATCATCCCGCATGTATCTTGTGGGCTACATTTTCATTAATTTCGTAATCATGTTGATGTATTGATCCTGGATATTTAAACATAGATACCTCTGGTATTAGTATTACATCTCTCTCTTTTACTTCCGAGTCATTCTCCATATCTTGCTAAAATCATAATTCATATATACTCTATCTTGTGCCTACTTAAATAAATGCTGCGTGTCAAAAGTTTGTAACAAAAGCTCACGTTTAAAGTACTGTTTTACTTAATTTCTCAATCAAAACTTTGTCCTTCTTGGTAAGCACATCAAAGAAACGAATATATAACTAAGGATTTAAGGCTCAACCTTGATGTAATCTTACCCTCAAGGGAAGTCCTTAGTGTCACCTCTTGAAATTCTAATAGTCACCTCATTATATTCTAATAGTCACCTCATTATAGATGTCTTGTATATGGTTCGGATATAAGTCATGCAAACGTCTTCCTCTTCCAAACTCTTTCACAACACTTCTCTTGATCAACCGTAAGCTTTTTCCTAGTTTATAAAAATCATACGTAAGTTTTTCCTTTGCTTCAATTCTCATAAAATGATATTTAGTCTTAAGTTGTAAATTTCCAGTCTCTTTTATTAATTTTTCTATGCTTAATCACCTTTCTTTCATAATTTCATAGTATGAGTATAAGTTTTATATTTATGTAAATTGTGGTTAATAAAACTCTGAAATATATATCTCGTTCTTAAGTATAGGAATCAAAGTGCTTCCTCCACTGACGTTTCATTTTCTTATACCTTACACTCTCATTCATTAAATAACCCAGTGACTTAAATGTTGTTCTCGTACACACTTTCTAACGTAATAGGGCCTATCGTCTAGTCAACAACTTTATCACTATTCATCTTCTTAGGGAACACTTGTGTGTTTCCAATCCAAAGAATTTGATAATAAGCCAAATTATGTCTCTACTTTTGGATTTTTAGTCCTTTATTATGAGGTGATTCCTGTCCTGTACATCATTGAAAAACTAATTCTCTCACCTCTTTTTGATATTCTGATCTATGAATTAAACTTTCTCCTTTTCATCCTTGATACATCTCACGATACAAATGTCTTGTTTTCCTTTATTTTTGACAAACTTATAGGTCTTATGTTCTCCATATTTTGTACTGAAATCTTCGTAAAACACTTCAAAAGCTTTAGATCGTGCTTCATTCACAGCTTCTCTCCCCTCATTTGTATAGTTTTGATACATTTTCCACTTTTCAAAGTTATTGCACTCGTGCAAAGCTTTAAAGCGTATACTTTTGTTTGTTTGGATCCCACCACAGATTTCTTATCTTTTAGACCTAAAACCTTTTGACAGTTTAAATCCTGTAGCATATAACTCTGTAGCTTTTTCTACATCACATTTGATTGATTTCTCGTATGCATGTTTGATGTTAGTCAAAATTCAAGCACTTTTGAACTAGTTTCTTTACCCACATCTGTCTAGAAAACGTGAGAATCTATGTTTATTTAAATCTGGATGGCTTTAACCATGCGACACATTAGATCTGGGAAATGACCTACCATGAGCAAAACTCTGTTGTGAGTGACCTAACTCGACCCTCTTCCACTACCGAGCCTGGAATTGGCTACAAAACCATACATAGACAAAATTATTCCATGCCCAAGTCTTAAAATAAAACAGTCTTTTCTTGCTGTTTGGGTTCCACTTTCTTGATTGCCAACCATGTGAAACATGCCAGTAAAATAGTTTTTGGGAACGTGTCCCTGTGGATATCAGTGATTAATGTGAATATGTGATTCAATACTGGGGTACACTTCCAGCTTTTCTGTCGGGTGTGTTAAATTACTCATCCATTTGAATGTGTACTGTTTCATTGCTGTAACTCTATAATTCTTTTATTCTTTGTTGATTTCCAATGTTTATGCCAGTTTGAGTATCTGTCAAGTTGTTTATAATGTGCCAACCCTTTGTTAAATTTCCTATTTTTTCAGCTTACTATCGTGGTGCTATGGGCATATTGCTAGTGTATGACGTTACAGATGAGTCTTCGTTTAACAGTAAGTTCCCTCCTGTTTTTTGGTTCAAAATTTGAAGGTGTCTTTTTCTCTTCAAAGGGTTTCTCATGGAATATGACCCAGCTTATACCAATTTCAGATATCAGGAATTGGATTCGTAACATTGAGCAGCATGCCTCAGACAATGTTAACAAGATAC